GAGTGCCAGCTACTAGCACGTTAATGAAGATGATTATGCAGACATCAGTAACTGTCACATTTTTTTTCCTACTGTGAATCACAGAGCCCAAAGATGCACAGACCAGATAAACAAACAGCTGATACAACAGCCAGTGGCAGAGTAAACAGTTAAGCAGTCAAACAATTCAACCTTAGTGTGGGCTGTGTTGTCTTTTTATAGCTAATTTACCCTACTTAGTTGCCAGGTTTTCCTAACTACACTCACCTTTGAACTGGATATACAAATATGTCTTGTGAATCTCATTTGACTATCCCATTTGTCACCAAAGATCTAAGCAAATGAGATCAATCACACAGGCTTGTCTTTCCCTGTTAGGCTTACATTGTGCCATTGGTTCAGGGGCTGGGATATGCTCAAGCCTCCACTTAGCTTCTATCTTACCCATGGTTCCTTGGCCTCCCAATCCATATGAGCACTTCAGATGGAATGATAAGGCTCATTATAAATTGATTACTAAAAAGGACAGGGATGGCTTTCTACAGGTTAAATAAAGTTAAGTTTAACACAACCTACAAACAATATTCAGGCCCACCACAAAAATACAACAAATGTTACAGTCAGCAAAGGACAAAAGGGACCCCCTCACCACTACAGGAGTATACTGGATACCTTGCAGTTGTGCCCAGGTATATATTGGAACTACAAAACGCTAGCATTTGTAGACTAAAACAACCAAAAAAATTGGCAGTAGCTGAACATGCCCTGAAACAAGCTGGACATGAAATTCTATTTCAAAATACTGAAGTACTGGACAACACCAGCAATCATTATGTTAGATTGCACAGGGAAGCCATTGAAATCCACAAATACCAGCAGAGCTTCAACAAAAAGGAAGAAAGTCTAAAACCCAACAAAGCCTGGCTCCCAGCACTGAAAAATACAGCCTGCAAAAGGTCAACAACCTCTCCCCAGCCACAAGGACCAGTGATCACTGCACACAAAAGACAAGCTAACGACACCCGTCAATCACAGTGACAGATTAGCTCTCCCCTTATCAGAACAATACACCCACAACAAAAAACACCATAATCACCCAGTCTCCTGAAAAGGACAAAAGCTGATCCCACAGCTGTAAATACTCAGCTATCCCACAAACTGCATCAGAGTACAGACAGAGTTCTGACTCCTGTCCTCTGAAGATGTCAGCCACAGAGACTGGTGAAACATTAGGAAGAAAAATCCTCAGAACATGGCCAAATAGCCCGAAAAACCTACACCAGCCAAAGTTTAAGTTTGTTAGTTACAATTCAGTAGTTGCCACCAGTTCTTTTCGTCAGTGATGATGTTGTTGGTGTTGAGGTGACAATGAGGTAGATGGGAAGATACTATGTTTTAAACCAAATGCAAATGGATTATAGCATTGAGGTTTTTTTTAAATGAAGTCATTAAAAGAACAATATTTTCGTTAACCTTTGAGAACATAAAATAAAATGTGTACTTTCTACATTATTGTAACTATAATGATGGGGGCATAACAAATTACTTTTCTAAGTAAATTTCTAGGCTCTAGTTATACTGACAAAGAATTTAATTTTTCAGATTCCTTGTCATGACCATCATTTTGCTCATGCTGGTCAACAGAAGTACCTCTATGCAACTGTCACAACTAGAGGTGAACAACTTCAGCAATAAAACTGCAAGGAATTCCCTAAGAAGCCCTGTGGACATTAGCCACTCCAAACTATAGCAAGTGCATCAAGGTTCAGCTAGACCTCAGGAATTGGGCAAGTTAAGGATAAAGATCATTCCTTTCTAGGTCAAATTAAATGGCTTAGAATTAAGTTAATACAATTGTGACCTGTTATTCATATGGTTCTGTGTTACCTCCTATCTCCTCCTCCATTACCATTATGAACAGCATCAGCTATAAACACTCTAGGAACATTTAAGTAAGAAAAAACATATGAACAAGTAGAATATAGGTCTGAGCTTCCTTGGCAATAGTATTTGTGAAAGGAAGTTAATGGTCGTATTAGACCATAAGCTGTCAACAGTGTGATGTGGCAACCCCCACCCCCCCCCAAGAGCAATTGCAACACTTGGTTGTACTAGCAGAAGTATAGTGTCTGGATCAAAGGAAGTAATAGTATCACTCAATTCCGCTTTGGTCAGACCTCACTTGGAATACTGTGCCCCATTCTGAGCATCATAATTTAGAAATTATATTGATATGCTGGAATGTGTCCAAAGAGAGTGGTCAGAGTGGTAAAAAGAGTGGAATAGCTAAGGGAGCTGGGTGTTCTTAGTTTTGGGACAGAGAAATCTGACATGTGATACGACAGCTATCTTCAAATATTTGCTTAAGAAATGGTAGCAACTCTTGAAATTTTGTGGATGTCAGTTAGCTAATGTCAGTCTTATCCCATCCTGAAATTGCAGAGTTATGCATCAATCAGTCTTCTCCATCCCTTGTTACTCATACGACGTGATGTCATTTTTGTACTGAAACATTGAACTGGCTTGGAAAGCTGGAGTTCCAGAAGACAACATATGACAGAAATCTAGTTCAGATGTTTCCTAATTGCTAGGTCTGGATCAACAAAGAAAGAAACAGACAATGCAAACCAAAATAAAAGTGTTCTTCTCAGCTCTTAATTAAAACAGCTGTATGAAGATAAATACTATCCCTGTGGGTAACTTCCTCTGTCTTCCTTCTAACCATATGTAACAATTCACTCTTGAAGCATATTCTCCCAGACAATTGAGCTGCTCAAAATAGGCTCTGTCCTCTAACACATTTATGTCACTAAATAAAGAATGTGCTGGCAGAGATGGTTAAGTATTCTGACCATAATGCCACATGAACTAGACCTTTCTTTTAGATGGGATCAAAGCCTTTTGCCCGCGGCTTGCTGCATAGCAATAACCACAGCCACTTGCCTCATTAAAGGAACTAACAACAAAGACAGCCATAAATAATCAGTTTGCATAGGAGCTTTTATCTTTTGCAAAGTCTTTTGGCACATAAGCAATAACTTGACAATGAGTTAAAAATTTAGGCAAAGGTACCAGGACAGATTTCTATCAACACTAGAAGGTAGACACTGTGAGACAGACCCAATGTAACAAATACCTATAACAGCGGTATGCAACTCACTGAGAAGAGGAACTATGAATTATCAACTGTGCCACTTTCCTTTGAGGGTTTTCCCCACTCTTCCCCCCCCCCAATAAGATCTGGTCTCTTAAAGGTAGATGGGTGATTGCAGGTGTTTTATGCCAGTTTCATAAAAGGGATGTGAAAGATCAAGTTGAGCAATAAGCATTCCTTGAAAATGCTCTTTTTCTTATTCAGGGCATGCAGGTCTTGTCAATTAGCTCTCAGCCCTCAGAGGAACTTTGTGAGCTACTTATAGCAACTCACAACTAGTGTGTGACGTCATAGGAGTGATCCAACACACCAAAATACAGATGATTTAAGTTAATTCATGAGCAAGGGAAGCTGGCATGTGACTGTTCTGTTGGCCCCGGACTCCCACTGTCTCATAGTCATATGTCTATACAAGTGAAAGAATTCTTGTTGATACTGACAGAAAATAGAACCTTGCCATCTTGCAAGGTGAGGATTTTGATTTTATTCATGAAGGCTTTCACGGCTGGGATCTAATGGTTGTTCTGGGTTTTTTGGGCTCTTTGGCCATGTTCTGAAGGTTGTTCTTTGTGACGTTTCACCAGTCTCTGTGGCCGGCATCTTCAGAGGACAGCAACCTGTCCAGGTTGCTGTCCTCTGGCCGGCCACAGAGACTGGTGAAACGTTAGGAAGAACAACCTTCAGAACACAACCAAAGAGCCCAAAAAACTCAGAACAACGATTTTGATTTTATCATGTATTTTTGGTGGCAGTGGTTTCTCGTCCTTGCTCATGAGAATAAGACAAGTGAGGATTTCTGTCTCTAATGTATTTCTGTTTCTAATGTATTGTCAGCTTTACGATGACCATTTTTATGGCTTTCAAATGTCTGAGCGATGTTTGCTGGCTGTGTAGAATACCCAGAAATGCAAGCTGAATGGCCATTCATTAGGGGACAAATCCTCACCTATCTTATTCTCAAGAGTGAGAATAAGAAACCATTACCACTTTAAAAAATGATAAAATCAAATCCAAACCATCACTTTGCAAGGTGGCAAGGTTCTATTTTCTGCCAGTATCAACAAGAGTTTCTTTCACTTGTAAAAACAGTTTTTGTGAAAATTATACCACTGGACAAAATTTCATCAGTTGTTACCTTGTCACACAGTCCTTTAAGAATAAGAAGCACTAAGCAGGCTGTCTGTGTCTGATCAGTTAATCCTTCTGCACTTATTGTGTGCATGTATTTTGCTTCATAAAGGAAAAATGCAAGATTTGTACAAAAGACACTTTTCACAAATTGTGAAAACCTCAACAAAAAAAAAGATTAGCCTGTTTCATTCTTGAACTGGCAGTATGAAATCTTGTGGTGGGGTATGTTTCAGTAATTTCTAAGCAGAGTGTCCTGAACTTTTGAGATACTCTGTCTCATAAAAATATATATGCCTTTGAAAACATTCTTCACATCAGTTTTACAGCTGGAAAAACAAAATTAACAATTAGCACATTTCCCAAAATTTCTCACTTAAATTATGAGTGGGGATTTTAATCTAGGTGCTAAATATAATTACTAATTCCTATTAGAGGAGACCCATTAAATGAATTGTATTTTTACAGACAACAACAATGGAAGTCCCACTGATTCAATGATTCTACTCTAGTGGGAATTAACAGTTGGATTTAGCTCCAAATCTCCAAGCTAGGAGACAAATATGATATCCACTGGAGTATTTAGCATGATGCATTTCCTAAAGTATACTTCCTTGATACTGTAAACTGGATGTCACAAACATTTTCTGCTTTGTAGATTCCAGACAGGAACATCTTTGCACTACAAAATCCAATGTCAGCTGTAACAAGATGGAGACCAAAGCAAAACATTTCTTACCCTATAGTAATCTGTGCTATACACATCCCTTGACATTCCAAAATCTCCAATTTTCACCAGCAGGTTTTCACCAACTAGGCAATTCCGAGTGGCAAGGTCACGATGCACAAAGTGTTGTGACGCCAAGTAAACCATACCAGCTGCAATCTGCTGGGCAATATGCAACATCTGTGACTGGGTGAGCTCAGTTAGAAGATTGCCTTCTGCCATCAGAACTGCATCTGGTCCATGTGCCCTGCATTGGAAAAATAAGAATTTAAGCAGTTCCAAAGAAACATCCTCTGTAAATTGGATCCAGTCTCATAGCATCAAATACATCCCAGCACACTTCACAGCAATTTAAAATGCATATTATGAAAAACCACGCACACCAATATTTGCTATAAAAATGGTGGGAAATACTCAGAATGGCTTCTTTCCTCTCTGAATGTGCATCATTTCTGGATCATATCCACAGTTTTTGCCTAAATTAAGAATTCCAACTGCATGATAGAAAGCAATAAAATGAGAATATCAAGGCCTGGATGGATAAATCTTGTCATTGCAAATCAAACTTTTAATAGCTATCAAAGTCTTTTTGGTCAGGAGAGCAACTGGATTCCAGCCAGGCACTGAGAGAGCATAGGAAACCTCAAACCCTATCCTGTGGGGAAACTCTTATTTTCTTTAGGAGCCCTGTGGGGAATTCTGGACAAGAGAAATGAAATGGGTCATATGAACTCCAGGCAAATGAGAAGTAGCGGCCAAAGGGAAACATGAACATAGAAAAAATGAAATATAAGAGACATTGGTATTGATTTAATATTCTATATTGCCTTGTGAAGCTCGATCGCAAGATACAGCATTAACATTGTTTTTATTTTATTCAAGCTGCATAAACATTTAAAAAGGAAGTATCATGGATAAGAATTGTACTGTTCACATTATTCTGCCCTAAACATTTGAAACTATAGCCAGAAAGAAAGAAAAAGCAGTGCTTAGAATGAAATGTTTAAATGAAGCAAACTGGTATTCATTCATTCCTGTTTCCATATTTTTGTTATCCCCAGAATGTTTTTTTTCTGAAAGAAAAACTGTAGAACAATCAGGTAAGGGAGGGAGAAAAGGAAAGGAAAGAAAAAAAACTTAATATATCTGACCAGGAAAGCCAAATGCTGAAATCCTAAGGTGAAGACAAATGGTTTGCAAGCCTGACCTTAAATTCTTTCATCATTGGATGTTTGGGAGCATTGTTTCTGATTTCTCAGATGTAAGCAGAAGTTTCTTTCACATTTTAAAGCTTTTTCTCCACAAAACTAGAAACATTTTAAAAAACATTGACATCAGTAGTTTTCAGAGGAGCAACAGCCAAAAGTTGATTCTAGTGCCACGCTGATAGCTTGCAACAAGGTGAAGGCCACCAGTGTTTGCTTGATAGGTGCTTCCCTAAGCTGCCCAGGTAAGTTTCATGAGAATATTTTGCTGGGCATGCAAATCCTAACGGTGTGTGAGGTTACAGAGGTGCACAGAATGTAATGTGCTTATTCATTCACAACACAGTTCATATTAAGGCCCTAAACATTACATTGCCCATCTGATACAATCCAATTCTAACACCAAAGACCAGGTATGAAAGGTTGCACAGCCCTAGAAAGTTCCAAAGTGGATGAAATGTTTCTAGGAAGTCACTCTGCACAATTATTCCAGTGATGCCTCCCCCTTACCAGATCCCAGACCCTACTCATTCCAGTGCCAAATGCAGCTTCTGCCTCTATATATCTGGAGTCGAGACAGTACTATCTCTATATTTATTTCCATTATTTCCACATAAACTTGAGCCTTTTGATTGTTTGTTCAGACTGCTAGCTTTCCTTTTTCAGATCCGTCCGATTGCAGTCTACAACAAGACAAACATATATGGTGGCAACATTAATTTAATCACTCTGGTGCATCTTTATGTTTCCGTTAGCTTAAGTATTACACTGGGAAAGTGTCATTTCTTTTATCTCACTAGTACATCTTTATATTCCTGTCAGTTTAAATGCTACACTCAAGAAGATTTCTTGTCCTTCAAATCAGGGTCTGCAATTTGACTCTGTGTGGCAGGAACAAAGTATTAAAGGATGGGGGGGGGCAGCTTAAGCTGTGGGAATTTACTTTGGCCTTGGGAGGCGCTGCAGGATAAGAAATAGATGTCCTTCAGTTCATGCAGTTGTTCTGTAGCCTTTCCTCTCCATCACAGCTGTGTCAAATGGCAGTAAAATGCCAGATTTCAAAGAAATCAAAGATTTCCCTGAGTAATTCTGTGTATGAGAAATAATACAACAATAGCTAGTATTGCTCTAGTATTATCCCAAATCAAAATGCAAGACATACAATACAACACATTACCAGAACATGTAAATGAATTAGTACTTCAAATGTTATGAGGTGGGTACAATTATGATTAATTTTTAATATGAGCATTCAATTGTGGAAGAGATCCTTTCCCAATAATCCACAATGCATCTATTAGCAGTATCTTTCTCTAAACAAGGTGATGTATATTTAGATGAGTGCACACACTTATGCCAACAGAGGGTGATGCACATTTAGACCATAGAACATTTGGGGGGCTTACTCCCAGACAAATGTCAGGCCACCACTAAAGCATTTTCTCTGCAGAAATGCTTCCATTGCCTTGTGGCAGTGGACCTTTTGCAAAATAAAGCAACCTGTCAACATAAGAGGGTCCAGTGTATGAGCATGCTCATGGCATATCCTATCAAGAATTTTGTTAGCCAAAGTAAGACTTTCTGTGAAACAGAAGCTCTCCTCAGATATCAACCACATGTAGTGTGAATGTGAAAAAAGACAAGTGGGATCAGATTCCAAACCCTGGTTCCCAATAAACATGCATCCACTAGACTACTCAGCTCTTATACATAAGCCAACTTTACTTGCTCAGATTTATATATGGGGTTGAGGACTCAACTTTCTGCTGAGGATTGGTAATCATGAGATGTGTGACCATAAAAAAGCCACACCATTTTGTATCTTCTATAACCCCACTGGTACAAGAAAGGAAAGGAAAAGAAGCTTACCAAGGATTCTTCAAAAGTGGCTAAGGTCTTTGGTGGAATGTGGCACTTTGAGGAGGGAATAATCTGACACTATTTATAATTCTTAGAAGTTATAAACCCTTCCAAACTGAAGACCTGAATAGTTTTGCATTCACAAGGCACATCCTTGAGATTTAAGCTACTGTGTCAAATCTCAAATCCCAAGTAGTTTGTTTGCAGATGCTTCTCTTGTTCAGGTTGGATAATTGTGGGTTTGGAAATAGTCCTCCAGATACAAAGGATATGCCTTTTTTATGATTCATTTTCTTGTGGCTGAATTCAGTGGATTGATCATATTTACATTCCCAAGGCTGACTAGGTGGGTATCTTTAGCATTGTTCAGATCGCCTTCAAAAAGGTGTATTTGTTTGTTTGACTGACTTGTATTTTATTTTTATTTATTTATTTATTATTCAATTTATACTCCACCCCTCTAGACAGAGTCTATTCGGGGCGGCTTGTATGCCGCCCGCACTCTACAAGAGTCTCCAGGCAGCTTCCAACATCAATTAAAACAGTTCAGTTAAAAACAGACACTAAAAACAAATATGGCCACATCCATTCTGGAAAAACAAAAACAATCTACAAAAACAATCTAGATCCATGACTTATTAATTAAAATTAAAACCTTCAATTAAAAAACTTCCCAAACAGGAAGGTTTTAACCTGGTGCCAAAATGTCAGTAAGGTTGGCGCCAGTCAGATATCATTTGGGAGGGCATTCCAAAGACTGGGGGCAGCTGCCGAAAAGGCCATCCCTCTGACCTCACTGAGGGATGACTCTTTCAGGAGGGCCTTCTGGCTACTCAGTTGCCGCGTAGTTTTATATGGAAGGAGGCGGCCCTTCAGGTATCCAAGGCCCAAGCCATTTAGGGATTTATATGTCAAAACGAGCACTTTGAATTGGGCCTGGACAACAACTGGTAGCCAGTGTAACCTGGCCAGAATCGGCTGAATATGTTCTCTCGCGAGAAATGGCCCTTTAAACAGTCTGACAATCCACCCACTAACAGGACTTCCATCTTGTCTGGATTAAGCTTCAATTTATTAACCCTCATCCAGTCCATTATCAGGTCCAGACACGAGTTCAGTTTAGAGACTGCCTCACCTGGATTGGTGGAGAAAGAGAGGTAGAGCTGAGTGTCATCAGCATATTGCTGACTTCTCAGCCCAAACCTCCTGATGACCTCTCCCAACGGTTTCATGTAGATGTTGAACAGCATGGGGGACAGTACTGAGCCCTGAGGAACCCCATGGCATAACCGCCATGGGGCAGAGCAACTGTCCCCCAGAACCCCTTCTGCAATGGTCAGCCAGAAAGGAGCGGAACCACCATAAAACGGTGCCTCCAACTCCGAACCCAACTAATGTA